GGGCAAAGAGCAGAGAAGGGCAAGACTTGACTTTGCAGCAGTGCCCTTTTTCGGTGGGGGGAGTGTATCAAGGCAGGACAACCTTTCCACACATGCCTGCAGCATCTGGGACATTGCACACCTTGCTGCTGCACACCAAGCTGCAGCGCTCAGGGGCTGGGGGACTTTCATAAACCAGCGCTTTTATGGGTAGGTTGGACACCAATAGAGGCAGGCGGTGTCGTTGTGCCCTCACTGTGCTACCTTATCTTCTCCTGAGCGTCCTGCAGACTGTTGTCCCCATTTTTTCATTTATTGTGAAGCAAGTGAAGAAAACGGCTCCAATCACTGGCTAGAGGAGGTGGGTTATTGCTGGTGTCCATATTGTATACCTTAATTCCCCGTGAAACATCACTCACTGCCTGGAGCGTATCTAGCCACAGCAAATCAATAAAGTCATTGTCTGCCACCTACCTGCTGGGTGAACCCAGCCTTGGCACCTCCCGCGGCACCCAGCAGTCAGCTGAGACCCCGCATGGCTCGGAAAGTGACAGCCGACCACAGACCCATCCCAACCCATGAATTTATTTTTGTTTCAGACAGGGAAGGGGCACAGGTCAGAGGAAGCAGGTCATCCCCTCTACTTCAAGCAGAGGGAGAAAAATGGAGGGGAAATCTGTGGTACTGCTGCAATCAAGCAGCACCCGCTTCCATACAGCTCCCCTCCCCTGGCAGGAGCAGGCAGTGAGACATGGCTGGGGGCAGCATCGCTTGCAAATAAATGACCAACAGATTGGATTTTTATTAGATCCATTGAGCCAGTGTAGGATTCAGCTGCTGTGGCTTTCTCTGAGCCCTCGCAGCCAAAGGCATCTTTGGGGTGCCACATCCATCCTTGCACCCCGCTTTGTCACTTTTGGAGGTGACAGCACACAGGCTCTGATCTACGGGGGCTCTTTAGCTCTAGCCTGCCTGCAGCTGGAGGCATTTCCAAAGATTCTGCATGTTGCTCTCCCAGCCTGACCCGCCCTACGGGGCAGCATTGACTCCCACCAGCTCCAAGTGAATCTTGGACACCTTCCTGGGGCTTTGATCTCAAGTATTTAACTCTGACCCAAGACATCCACGCCCATGATCTCATCCTGGCATGTTAAACTGAGAGAAGGCTCTGAACCCATGGAAAGCAGCTGAGCCTTTTGAAGGCTCATTGTCCAGGAACAAATCCAGCTGCTCCAGCCCCTAAGACTAAGGCTTCTCATGCTACACGTGACATTTTATCCTGGATTTGCTGCCTTCAGGGCAACTTCATGGCATCTTCAGCACAAACTTAAGTGCTGACACTGGTGTCCTTTTCTCAGCACACTCTCCTTGATGAACGTGTGTCCCACCAGAGCCAGCCTGGAGGAAGGGTTCTGACTTTATGCTAGCCTGATCAGACCCATGCAGCCACCAATGTGTGGTGTGGTCTCAACCAGCTGTGTTGGTTCAACCAACACTACGGCCATCTTAAAAGAGGCAGCAGGCTAGCAGCAAAAGGAGCTGGATATTTCACAGACTCCCTATGGGTTGGAAGTCTAGTACTGAGCAGGGACGTCTGTGGAAGCAAGTCCAGAATTACATCTGCACAAAACAGAGATACTGGAGTAGCAGAGGGTGCCACCTACCTCAGCACTGCTTGCTGGGGAAGCAATGCATCATTCTGCCTTTGCTGATGGGTGCTCCTGCAGGTCTCCCCAAAGAGAGAGTTTGGGTATATAACTAAATATCACAGTTACTTAGCTCTTCATTCCTTTCTTGACACTTTCCTCAGGCTGGTCAGGCAGACAAACTTACCATCAGCTGTGCCTTGAGTGATGGGAGGGTTGGATCTCCAACAGGATCTGCCCAGCAGCATCACTTCATCCTGGAGCAACTCCTCCTTCACTGCCTTCTTCCTCTTTGGTCTCTCTGGCCACCAGTGATCTTCCACACAGCAGTATTTCAAGAAGCCTTGCCTTGCAGCAGCTCTGATGCAGCCCCAAGTCTCTGCTTCAACCCTCTCCCTTTAACATCCTGGCATGTTAAGCACTGTTTAAGCATTTGGCATTTTTCTGATCTATTGCTTATCATACCCATTTATCTTTGACAGCACGAGGGTCTCCTTGTGCTGCTTGCATGGCCAGGCAGCGAGCCATGCACATGTTTGCCAGCCATCTGTCTCTCATCCGAGCTTGGCAGTCTGCTCCTCAAGTGGAAAATGATCATGGATACCTCCCAGCTGCCATTGGGTTTTGGGGATCCTGTGCTGCTGCTGACTAGCTTGTTCACCATGCTAGTAATTACACGCCTCTTGAATCCTCAGTAGCACCCTCGTGACTTAAGACCTCCCATTCTTTACAGTCCCAACTACTTTAGACATTAAAAATCTCCCAGGAGGAGCTTAACATTTCAACTCAGTAAGTGACATTATTGAGAGCAGGGTAGAACGGTACCCCTGAGTGTCCAAACTGATGTGCGACCACTGGAAGTAGTGCTGTAATAAGCAAACTACAGTTAGTCATAACAGGTGATGATTTTTCTGGAACAAATCCAGTTTTTCAATAGCAAACCCAAATTCCTGACCAGTACCAATGGGAGACATGTGATCACTTCAGACAGTCCATGCTTGCATCGTTGCTAACTCATCAAGCTAGTGCTTCTCCCGTGTGTCAAAAGACTGCCTGGAGTAGGAGATAAAACACCACGGAGATTATGAAGCTCCAGGACAAGCAGGTCTGTGCGGTCCCAGACCCATTCTCTTGGTCAAAAACTGACCGCTGAAGGAAGCACGGAACATCAATGAACACAGATTAGCTGTTGGAACTTGGCTTCCAAACAGGCTCTGCCCAAATTTCTGCTTTCATTCATTCTTCCAATTTAGATCCCTCCATTTCATGCTCAGAAAAGCAGCCTGTGCCTGCTCCCTCCCTCTGAGAAGGGGAGAGCAGACATCTGGGGCTTGCAGGCTGGACTCCCACCCAAGGAGGAGCCCACAACAGAGGATTAACCAGATTCTCAGTTCAAATCATAGCCTGTTAGGCAACAACAGATTCCCTGGGTAGAAAACAGTAGAAATTAAATGCAAACTAGTTCTTTTTTCCAGGAAGTTTAGTCACCTGACTGCCCTGCATAAGATTAAGACTAAGACTATGATCAAGCTCCACCAGGGTTTTCAGCAAGCCCTACAAACTGTAAAAGTCTCATGACAATGTTTTTCATGGACTGAACGTCCCCACACACAACCCCAAACCCCATAATGTAGTGCTGATGACTTGAAGAAATCACAGTACTGCTGCAGACTTGGCTAAAACCAGACTGAGTAAGAGCCAGGTCACGCACCAGAGAGGCACAGCTGATGCCCCCACAGTAGTGTCACATCTGCAGCCACAGCTGGAGCCTGCGCAGGTGGCAATCCCCTGCAGCAGTGGGCATTGAGAGAAGGAGAGAGCAGGGAAAACCAAGTTTTTAGTGTCCCGATATTTCTAGAGCAGGCAGCACAGGGAAAAGGCGAGCAGTGCCCATTCCTGCTGCCAAAGCGGGAGCTCAGGCCATGCCAGTGTCCCTGAGCAGCCAAGGGACTTCACAGTTATCGCTGTTTACCTTTCAGTGTGATATCTGTGTTCCAGCTGGAAATTTCCACTAGGCTACACTGCTTGAGCACAGCCTCTGAAGTTCATTGGTTATCGCTGCCTCTGCACCTCTTTCACCCATGAAAACGTGACCTTACCTTAAAAAAATAATAACTTTTAAAAATTCTCAAGGTGTCTTTCCCCCGCCTCACACACACATTTCTGCTACCTATTAATGGTCTGAAATGTCTGCTTTCTTGCAGGAAGTTGAAAGCAATATACAGGTGCCAGCCAGGTCGGCTCTGGGTCTTCTTCAGCCTCCTCATCCTCCTCTTGGTCACACTTCAAGTCATGGAGAAGATGCAGCCTCCTAAGTAGGTCCCAAGCAAGACTGCAAACCTGCACCTCACCCTCCAGCCTTTAACTGACCACTGAGATGGGCTCAAAACCACCCTCCTGAAAGCTACCCAAGTGTCTTCTTTAGACAGAGAGGAAAATCCAGGTGGGAGAGGGCCCCTCTGGGGCTCTCACATCCAACCCCTATGCCCTGGCCAGAGCTGAGCTGCTCTGGGTCCAGACCAGGCTGCTCTGGGCTTTGTACTGGCTGGCCTCAAAATCCTACAGCCCTTGAGCATCCTCCCAGTCCTCCCAATCTAGGGTCATCTGCAAACTTCCCACAAGCTTCTCCAGTCCACCTGCTCTTCTCTCTCCTTTCCTCCTCTTGCTTTGGCCCTTTCCACCAGCCCACCATGCTCCTGCAGGACAGGGGCATTAACACATCAGTGCTGACCTGTCCTTCTCTTCTTGAATCTGCATTGACCTCCCAGGGCAGTGGTCAAGTCCTACACCCACCAGCAATATCAGCCACCCCAAGAAAGATGGGGAAACACACTTTGGGTGTCTGCAGTGGGGTTTTGTTGGGTTGCAGAGGAGTTGCCTTCTTTGCACGCTCCTTCCATCCTCTGCAGCTGAGCCTTGTGTCCTCCTTGTTACAGAAACTGCCAGTGTGAGCTGGAACGTGCCCTGCAGCAGCCCACAGACCATGGCCAGAAGCAGCTCAGCTATGCCCTCCAGACCCCCAACCCACTGTGGGAGGACAATACCCCACACTGGCAGAGGAAATCCACACCAGACCCCACTTCAACTGGGGCACAAGACATTTTTCAGGTGCATCTGTACTTCAGCCGGGACACCCAACTGGAAGGTAGCCCAAGCAGCCAAGAGGTGCACTGGACAGGGCAGCCTGTGGAGAGCAGCAAGAAGGTGAAAACCACAAGACTGAAATCCCATCTTCCTGTCCTGAGAAAAGCAACCAGAGAGGGTCTTTCTCCAGGTCTTCCTGGGAGGATCTCCACAGTTTTAGGAGATGCTGATGCTATCACCAGAAAGTTCCTAATCTTTTCAAACCGCATGACCACAGAGGGACACAGAAGAATGGCACCACCAGGAACAATGCAGGTGGTGGAACAGAGCCAGTCTCAGCCACGAGCCATGGGTTTCCCCCACCATCAGTGGGGCAGCTCGTTTAAACACACCATGTCAAATTCAGCACAACCTCCACAGGCAGAGGACTTTTACAAGACAGACCTGGAGGGGAGATTTTTCCCAAGCTGGACAGAAGTCTCTAAGGTTGGGGAGGTGACACTTGGAGAAGGCCAGCAGGCCAGAGGGGTCTCCGCTCAAGGGGAAACATGTGAGCCCAAGACTGACATTGTTTTCCTGAAAGTCCACAAGAGTGCCAGCAGCACCGTCATGAACATCCTCTTCCGCTTCGGTGAGATGCACAACCTCACCTTTGCCTTCCCCATGGGGGGCGGCAACCAGCTCTTCTATCCACACCACTTCCTGGCGAAGTTTGTGCAGGGCTTCTCCCCCAAGAGCCCTCGGCAGTTCAACATCCTCTGCCACCACATGCGATTCCTGCGGCCAGAGGTATGGGCAAAGCTGCAATGCCTTGGAAGAGGCAAACAGGGATGGGGGAGAGGGGCTTGTGAGAAGCAAGGTGGGACACTTGTAGAGCATGTAAATTCTACAGGGATAAAGCTAAAGAGAGATAGAATTTCCCCCAGGTACCTTGCATGTTACAGGCATCTCCTGAGTGCTTCTGTAAACAGGTCTACTGAAGCATTGTGCTGTGACCTGAGACAAGCCAGAGGACAGCATCTGTAGCTGTCAGCAACTATGATCTCGTTCTTGTCTGGTGGGCCCTTGGAGATGTCTTGCTCCCTGGACAGGCCCCCAGGGTACCAGCTGCAAGAGGAGAACACCTCAAGGTCAGACAAGCCCAACATCCACCCTTCTGGATGCCATGTGAGGACATGCAGTTCTGGGGAAAGGCAAGGAGATAGGACATATCTCAAGCCTGGATAGGCCACCCAGCTGTGGCAGCATGTAGCAGGGAGCTTTGCTCACTGCTGTCCCCGTATACCACTTCTGAGGTATCCCACAGCTGACAGAAATGCTCCTTTGATGAGCTGCACCCTGAAACCCTTCCCAGCTCCCACCATCTCCAACCCAAGAGCTTTTCAGCTTTCCAGTTGAGCGAGTAGGTCCCTTCTCCCTACTCACCTTTAAAACCTCCTTTTTCTCCTCAGGTGCAGAAAGTGGTGTCCAGCTCAGCTGTCTACTTCTCCATCCTCAGGAACCCTGTGCAGCTCATGGAGTCCTCCTTCATGTACTACAAGGGTACATCAGCTTTCTCCCATGTTCACAGCCTGGAGGAGTTCCTCAGTCAGCCATACCACTACTACAATGCCACAAAAAGTGACAGCCACTACGCCAGGAACCTCATGACATTCGACTTTGGCTTCAATCCCAACGGAGAGGTCTCAGCCAAGAGGGTGCAACTCATGCTGAAAGCCATCGAGGTGTCCTTTGACTTGCTTCTCATCTCTGAGTACTTTGATGAGTCCATGGTGCTGCTGAAGGAGATGCTGTGCTGGGACCTGGACAGCGTCGTCTCCTTTCCACTCAACATCAGGGACAGCAGCACTAAGTCCCCCCTCTCAGCCACCATGGTGGAGAAGATAAAGGACTGGAACAGGCTAGACTGGGAAATCTACACCCACTTCAACAGGACCTTCTGGGAAAGGATCGACCGAGACATCGGCAGGGAACGCATGCACCGCGAAGTAAAGGCACTTCGGCAGAGGCAGGCAGAGCTGGCAAGGACCTGCCTGCAAGGGGCAGGCAGCGTGTCCCCGAAGGACATCAAGGACTCTTCCCTGCGGCCACTGCAGCACGGCAATGCAAAGATCTTGGGCTACAACCTCAAGCAGGGCTTGGATAAGGAGACAGAGCACGTGTGCCGGCGGCTGGTGACCCCGGAGCTGCAGTACAGCAGCACTCTGTACAAGAAGCAGTTTCCCCAGAAGCCCCCCCAGCCCCGCCAGCCCACTCCCTCTCGGCAAGGCAATGCCCTGCGGCACAGGCTGGAGGGCACCCAAAACTGAGCCTCCTTGTCCCCTCCAGGCATCGTTCTCCAGCTGCCTTTTCTGAGGACAGCCAGACGCTTGCCTCCTGGGCTCGGGGGCTGCTTCTGCCCCAGGGCAGGGGCCAGACAGGCTGGGACACTGCTGCCCGTGGGAGCCCCCGGCCACCTCTGTCCGTGCAGGACTGTGCACAAGCTCTTGGGTGCTACACGCTGCCGTTGCTGCAGAACAGAACGGGCTGCAACGGGGCAAAACCCCTCACTGGCAGGCGAAGTCTTGGAGGAGGCAATCCGGGGCTTTGTGCTGCACAGCACCAACTCCAGCAGTGAGGAGCAGAACCAGGAGGGCAGCCCAAGTCCTCAGCCCTGTGCTAGAGACCACAACAGCGCGGGGCCAAGCTGTAAATCAGAGCTGTGGAGCTTGATTTACAGCTTGGAAACAAATCTGTCTGTCCAGCTGAGGCTCTCCTCCACTATGCCTTAATGCTACAGTGCTGGAAAAGCAGCTTCGTAATTAAAAATAACAATGTTCACCATCACTCCTATTACATTCCCCTTAATTACATCAGTCTGCCCAGTAGACAACCTCCCCAACAGCCCAAGAAACAGACCTCAAACATCTGAAAGTGTCCTGGGGGGGG